TATATGACAATTCTGTATAGCTTCTAACACTTAATAATCCAGTACTAAATTAAGCAACAAGTCAGACATTTCCTGATAACAGTTACTCCTTTATGCAGATAGTTAGTTGGATAGAAAGGGAGGGGGTTCTTCAGAGAGTCTGGTTCATCTCCACTGGAAGAGTTGATGCTAGTCATAGACTGTGATGGCCACATAGTTTGAATGAACACATTTCTTTTCTGTACTGCTTTCTGACCTTAACACCAAAGCTGAGAAAAGGTTAATATACTACCATGCTAATTACTTTGCTTAGCTGGGAGTAAACCCAGGGTAGCAAAATGAGGCCTAAAGAAAATAAGTAACTTTCCCCAAATTACACAGAAATACAATTCAAATACTGTGTTCCTGTCTTGCATATGCAAAGTCCTGTAGCCATTCCTGGGAACCTTGAGACCTCAGCCACACAGCTCTAAACTAAAATGCTGATTCTTACTGTGACAAACAGGGACTCCCCCTTGTCCCACGTTTTTATCACCTCCACGATTCTTTTCATCCTGACCTTCTGTCTCAACTCCTTCCTGCAACCACGTGCCTGCACATATCCTGGGTCCTGGTCTCTGTCTCTAGGGCCTACCCACTCCTTTTGGGGTCAGCTGAAATATAGCCTCCTTTGCTATGATCACTGTTCTAGTCCCTGGCCGACCCTGATGTGACTGAGGCTCCCTCTGTTTTCCATAGGTCCCAGCTGTACATGTTTTCACTTATTGGCTGCAGCACCAAAATCAAATGCCCACAGCTTGCCTACAACATGGGTTTCTACCTACACACCCAGAGTCCAGCTTGCACATAGCTCCAGTGGGCATCTATAACATGGGTTTCTACCTACATACCCTGTGTCCAGCTTGCACATAGCTCCAGTGGACACTCATTCAATCCCACACCAAGCAACTACTAGCCCAACCTAGTAAAGACCCAATGCCTTACCCCACTAGGCAGTTAGAATTAATTGGGATTGATGAACGAATCTCTCTTACACCCTGGAAGTTTCCAGTCACTCTTTGCTTGGAAGACACAGGCCAGCCATGTTGTTATGACAACTCTGCATTTGGCAATATACAAAGTACTTGTCTGTTAGAGTAATTGCTAATCATATGTACATATTTAGATTAACTTTAAAAAATATGTGCAGTCATCCTGCCATATTTCAAGCAGGTTTTTGTTGTTGTTTTGGTTTTTTTAATATATATTTTATTTAATATTTTAATTTTATGTGCATGAATTTATCGCCTGCATGTATGTGAGTGCACCCATGTTGTGCATTTCCACAAAGGTCAGAAGAGGCATCGGATTCCCCTGGAACTGGAGTTAAGGACGGTTGATAGTCACCATGTGGGTGCTGGGACTTGAACCCGGGTCCTCTGCAAAAGCAGTCAGTGCTCTTAACTGTTGAGCCATCTCTCCAGCCCCAACATTTCAAATGTTTTAATAGCCACTGTGATCCATGGTTTCTGCATTGGACAGTGAGAAATGAATGTGTTCATCATCATAGCAAGTTCATTGCTGGCCTAAGAGCTCCAAGAACCACTCTACCCACTAGCAAGACCGCAGAGCTGGAGAAAACGGTAGTGGAACTCAGTTGTCTCAGCCTTTCTCATGACAGTAGCAACCTCTCAGTGATCCATAAGTCCTGAAGTGCAGTATTAGATGTGTTTTTATAATTGTTATATAAGCCAGCTGTGGCAGTTTACACTGTAATCACAGCACATGGGAGGCTGAGGCAGGAGCATCATAAATTCCAGCCAACCTGAGCAACTTAGTAAGACCCTGTTTCAAAAAAATGCTCTGAGGGAGCTGGAAAGATGGCTCAGCTGTTAAGAGTACCAGCTGTTCTTGCAGAGGACCTGGGTTCAAGTCCCAGCACCCACATGGCAGCTAACTGTCATCTGTAATTCCAGTTCCAGGGGTTCCTGTGTCCTCTTCTGACCTTCTTGGACATTGTACAACACGGGTGCACCTACCTTCATGCAGACAATACACTCATACACATAAAATACAAACAATTTTTTAAAAATGTTTTTAAAAGCTGAGCTGTAGTTCTGTGTTAAGATGCTTGCCACATATGTGAATTTGTGGTACCTTTGATTCCCAGTATCTTTTACAAAAAATGTTACTATATATCTAGACAAGAGACAGATATGCTATAAAGCTACTTTCATCCACTGATAATTGAAAAATAAGTTTCATTGTGTTTATAAACTTGCCTTATTTCTTACAAGCTTTTGTGCAATCTTGGAGGATTATAATGCATAAAGGTTGTACATGCTTGGATTTCTCCTGGCTTTGCAAGAGAATTTTAAGTCAGTTAATGGTGTTTTACAAATGGATCTAGGGAGGTCTTTCATCTCCAGTCATACCGAAAGCTTTACCTCTGCAGTGGTTTAAATATTTATAGAATACATATTTATCTTATACATCCACTTGTCCTATCATCCCAGTACAATTCTGGTCACCACAAATTCAGAACCAATTCAGTATGTGCCCGGTAGACTCTACGAAGGCTTTGTTTGTTACGGACATAATTATAAAGCTCTCTCAATGAAACATACCGGAGTGTTTAACCTCAGAAATTTGATTTCCTGTTTCTGCAGTCAAGCTAACTTGATAAAGCACTTATTTTTCTTGACCTTTTGGCATAATAATTTTTATGACTGGTACTACAAATAAACGTGAACTCTAGAACATTTATTTTGAGCAAAAAAAATTAGATAATGCCTGTGTTAGCAAGGACTGATGGGAGCAGAGTAGAGAGCCAGTTTCTGTCTTTATTGTAGCGTGATAAAGTGTCAGGCTATACACAGCAGGGCCCAGGTGGTCATCATATAGAAACAAAGTTCAGACCCTCCTGGAGACTCAGTGGTATTGCCATCTGCTCAGGGAAGCAAGGGGTACTTTAGTTTAAGGAAAGGCACAGTTAATTTAAAAGCAGTCAGAATGACTATCATCAAGAAATCAAACAACAACAAATTCTGGCTAGAAGGAGCCTTGCTACGCTGCTGGTGCGAATGGGAGTGATTTCTGTGGAAATCAGAATAGAGGTTCCTCCAAAGACTGAATGTAGCTGGATTGGGTGGCACACACCTTTCATCTCAGAACTTGGAGGCAGGTGGATTTCTGTGAGTTTAAGGTCAGCCTGGTCCGCATAGGGAATTCCAGGTCTGCCGGGGCTACATAGTAAGATCCTGTGTCAAAAATTGTTAAACATACCACATGCTCCAGCTGTATCACTGTTAACGAAATCTAAGCCAGCATACCAGAAAGATGCCGACTTGGTTGTCCTGCTTTGCTGTAATAAAACACTGACCAAAACCAACTTGGAGAGGAAAGGGTTGTTTTCTCTCATAACTCCCAGGCCACAGTCCATCACAGCAGGAACCAGGAGGCAGGAACTGAAGCAGAGACCATGGAGGAGCGCTGCTTGCTTCTCTTGGCTTGCTCAGCTACTTCTCTTATACAGCCCAGCCCCATTGCTCAGTGACGGCACTGCCACAGTGGGCGGGGCACTCCTCCATCAATTAGCAATCAAGAAATGCCCCACAGATAGATCCATAAGCCACTCCAATGCAGGAAATTTCTCAGTTGAAGGTCCCTCTTCCCAGGTGACTCTAGTTCATGTCAAGTTGAGAAAAACTAACCAGCACAAGCACCATGTTCATCCTAACACTAGCTACAGTGACTAAGCTCTAGAATCAGCCCAGGGGTTCATAAGTGGCTAGATAGACAAAGGAGGCACGACATATGTGCCAATGGAGTATTGGTCAGCCATAAAATGAATGAAATGGCGTTTATAAGGAAATTGATAAAACTGGAGATTATCATGTTACGTGAAATAATCTACTTAGAAAAATCACATTTTCTCTCATACACAAAAATCTAGATTAAAAATAAAGACATAAAAGTAAATAGGGGCCTATTAAAAGGGACCAGTGTGAGTGAAGGTAAAAATGAAAATTACTAGGGGGTAGATATAATCAAACCATACACTGTACATGTATGAAAATGGCATGATGAAACTCATTATTTGATATATGTCATCATGAAACTCGTTATTTGATATTTGATATATGGAAACTCGTTATTTGATATATATGTACTAAGAAAAAAGCCGATAGTTGCTGGAAAGATAGCTCAGCAGATAAACCCTGAAGACCTAAGTTCTCTCCCTGGAACCCACACAGTGGAAGGAGAGAAACGACTCCAGCAAATTGGCCTCTGGCCTCCCCACAGGCACCATAGCACATGAACCAACACACACACACACACACACATATACATACACCACAAAATAAATTAATGGAGGAGGTGCATGACCATGTGGAAACAGTGTCCTACTATCTCCTGGGAACCTGCTCATATGATTCTATGGCAATGGTGTCAGCATGCACAAGTCCCATGCAAACTCGGGCAGAAAAAAACCCAGCATAGAACTAGGGAAATGGACAGCAGACCCCAATCTTAGCTGAAGAAATACTGGCAGCTAATTGCTATGTGAAGAAGGGCTGATCTTCCTAAAACAAGAGACTCTAGATAGGCTGACTAGACTTCATTGGCTGGACTTGCACTGGGGATCGTCTGGGGATATTGACGACACAGTGGGCCTTAACATGGATGACCAAGTATATGGGCTCCAGTGGGGGCACAATGGGAGAGTGCCTGTGGGGATGGGGGTACAAAGGTGATTAAGATTGTTTGAGATATTCTGTATGAAATACACAAAAAATTCAATAAAAACAAAAATAAAATAATAAAAGGATATAAACAAAAAGCCTATAGAACATAAGCAAGAAAAGTTGTCTCTTAATGATCAAATCCAAATCTCTGTTTCAGCAGCTTTTAGTCCTGAGTCCTGGTGTGAGTCTGTTTCTTGGGTGTACCTGGTAGTATGTATCCACGCCCCAGAAGAATGTGTGCAAGAAGCTGGGTGCTTCACCTGCTTCCTCTTCCTTCCCTTTCCCACCCCACAGGAAGTGGTTTCCGACGAACGGCACCAGGGCGGTCAGCTCCTGGAAGAGCCGAAGCTGCTGCACTTCAAGGGGAACACCTTCAGTCTGCAGATCTCCGTCCTGGACATCCCTCCGTTTCTCTGGAGAATCAAACCGTTCACTGCATGCCAGGTACCGGCTGAAGGGGCATCTCACAGGAACAGCTTTGTTGTGATCAGCAAGCATGTCCAGAACCCCAGGTGTGGGGAGGCTCTGTGTTCCTGCTTCTGCTCCTTCAAAATATGGATTACATCTCCAAACTGTCATAGAGATGTAACAGTTTGGGCTGCACATAGGGAGTGAAACATACTGTCATAAATTCACAGGTTTCTAGCGAGTGGGAAAAACGATTCTTACGTGTCAGGTAATGTGACATTCCTCCCTCCTGTTGGAGTTGTTGCTCAGCATAGGTTCAAGATGACAATTTAACAGCTTGAGAGTGAGGTTTGTGTGTGTTTATTAAAATCAACCATCATGAGACATTGTTTTAATCACACTCAGCGGTGAGTACGTGGAATGTCTCAGGGTGACAATTTTGAGCGATAGCTGTGGCTGGCTGGGAACAGAGATACTCTCCTTCATATGTGAAGTATGTGCTGCCAAATGTGTTGAACAAGAGAAGAAGCCCCAAGTCTGAAGGAGAGGTGCAAAGAAGCCTCCTTGCAGCCGTTCCATGAGTACATAAAGAGATTTACGTATTAGTGTCTATAGGTCTCAATGAAGGGTTCTTTGTTTGTTTTTTATCATCTCAGAATGAGTCAAAGCTATCTCTTAATAAAATGATCTCTTAGCAGCATGGGATCCTGCCACTGAAGACTGAGAATTCCCCTCAGTTACTATCATCATCCACAGTGTCATCTGAGCTTCAAGTGACAGGATGTTTCCGTTACCCTGAGCTAACTTCTAGTTAGACCCACGTTGATCTTAATCGCAGGGCATTTTTAAGCCTGGAACCACCCAAGAGTCTGTGGGGCTATTTAGCCTTTCTATTTCTGCGGTATTCATTAAACATACACATAGACACACCACATACACACACACACAGAGGCACACTTTACACTGGCATACAGTTTCCCAAAATGGAAACCAGCCAGATTACAAAGAGGAAACATACTATTTGATGATATTTAGAAGTTCGACCACCTGTAAAATGCAGAAATTTAAAACCGAGCAAGGCTACATATTCCCATTTACATTTCAGAATTCTTGCTACCTTGGAAACGATCCTTCCTTGTACATCTGTGCTGTATTCAAAGTAACATGGACATCTCTCAGGGACCCAATCTTTGGGGAGGGCGTTAATCAGATTTCCTCATAGAGATTGCTCATGATGTTTAAGGCCTAGGTATCTTCGCTTTCCAGTGAGCAGTATTCAAAGTTTCGGATCCAAATTGAACTTCAGATAATTAACCTTAAAACAGGTTCTGATAATCATCCAAATTCCTGTATATTAATCATTATAAGTTATAAGGGCCTTATCGCCCTAGTTCTAATGCAAATCCCTCAGTCCAAAACAACTACTAAGTTTAATATTTGAAGATTAAAAAAAAAAAAGGAAAGAGCCATTCCTTCAGAATAGGTCTGAAGCAGTAATTCCATCACCAGGAACTCCACAGGAATGACCTGAGCAGAAGAGGCCCAGGGAGCAAGTGCCTGTAGACCTCCCAGGATGCAACAGGACCTGCCAGAGCCAAAGGGCCTTGTATTGAAAGGAATCCAACACGCTTGACTGCTGTCACAGGTTGGATTCCGTGCAGATTGCGAACATGTATAAATATTTGCCTTCTGTAACTGAACATAATGTGAGTCTCGGAAGGCTGAGAAACGATCTCATTCTCTGCACTGGGAGGCGCTGCCGAGTTTTCATGTGCACTTCATTTTTCTCACCCCAAATGGCTTTCTGTTCTGTTCCTCCTTTCCTTCCAGCACCCTACCCACCGATGTCCTTGCCCGTGCTGTGCTGAGTCCCTTAGCTTCTGTGAGTGCACACAGTGCTGGGATTAATGGTCATCCTGTGTTCGCCCAGGCATTCTGTCTAAGCCCTTGGGGATGAGTTTGAGTCCAGCCTTCTTGAACCTTAGTAGGACATTCTGTACACTTACCAACTTGGAATGGTTAGCAAAGAATGGGTGTTCATTAGCGCTTAGTGGTCAGGGACTAACGGCCTCTCCCTGGTTGTCGCAGAAATGCTCTGTAGACAGACAGAAGATCACACTATTCCTCACATCGCGGGGTCTCTCCTCCAATCACTAAGCCTTCCTGTAATCTTCCAGCTCAGTGTATGGGAAAACTCGGGTACCATCACCATCCTCCTTGCCTTTCTCTAACTTCAAATCGACTGCCTAGGAATAGATTTATTGCAACTGACATGCCCTGGGAAATGTGAAATTTCCAAGGAAATACAGGGCCTAGGAGGGGCATGTAGAATATTTGCTAGTCGGACACAAAGAAACTGCATGGCAAATTATTTTGGAATAGTGTGAGTTGAGTCCATGTCCTGGACTATGTGATGAGCACCTATGTTCAGGAGGACCACACTGATTGCAGACCTTGTTGATTTAGCTTCCGGAAGACTTCATTGCATATAAAGTCACACAGCTTCCTGTATGAGAGGAAGGAGGGTCATGGGAGTCCCCGAGATGTGAGTGTAGAAATACCTGCTGACCTTGGTTCCAGGGAAACTGAGGCCATAATGCAGTACCCTCAAATAACTCGCCATTGCACATTTTCTTCCCAAACTCCAAGACTCTGCTAGAATTAGAAATTTATTACTGCTCACCATCCCTCCCCTTGACACAGCAGGTAGGTTGGTCAGTGCATCCCTCCGCTCTCAGCAGGTCACTGGGACCCACGCTGCTTGTGGTTTGTTTCCCTTTACTTGCTGATTGTGTTGGGGGACCTGTGAGAAGTGATATGCAAGTGATTATTTATTAATTTAAAAAATCAGTAAAAGAGAAAGTCAGGTTGCCACAGCCCTGGGGTAAAAGCATGCTGTGACTCTTAGAGAGCTACATCTGCTCCTGCTAAGATATGATTTACATTCTCTCCATCTGCTTGGAACCTAATCATAGTGGGAATCAGAATGAAAACACACCTGCAGTTCTTTCAGCACCTAACTTCTCTGCACCTCGTTGTTGGTGTTTACCCTGCACAGTCCCACTCAGCCCAGTGAGGGCCGGTGCTAATTTGTTTTTGTTTTATTTTTTGAAGGTCATTTTTTCTTTCTTTTCTTTTTCACTCTTTTTTTGGATAAATGAAAGCAAAGACAATTGCTCTGAAAACACAGTAACCACAGTGCTTCCAATTCTATTGTTTTTAAACGTTGGTTGAGCACTGTTGGCAGTGCTCATTCAAGTCAGCAGTGAATGCTACTCTTTTGATGTGGTCTTAAAATCAAATTTAAGTGTTGTGGTCTTAAAATTCAGGTTTAAGTGTTTTGATTGCGTGCAGCCCCATGGAAAGACAGAAGAGGGGACTTGTTTATGCTGGTTCTCCTACCTTCCTACAAGGAAGGATTATCTCTACAGAGGGCCTTACTCTCCTACCAGTCCAGAGTTTTCAGGAGACATTACAGGAAATCTAGCAAGTGATGTCAGAGGAGACACTTTCAGACAAGTGGTCAGTACCAGTCTTTAAGAAAAGGTAAGTTTACCAAAGATTCCAGTCTAAAACTTACATTACATTGTAATGACTAAAATTTAAGTCATTTCAGAAAACAAAGCCTCCTTATGTAAATACCACCTGTTAACCTCAGAGTCCCTGTTTAAGGTTACTTCCTTATCTGAAGGGGGCAGTGCAAAGCAACGGCAAAAATCAACTGGTTTGGAGAAGAAAGTTCATTAGTTTTGCTAAGAATGAGATTAAGAATGAGATTGCAGAGTTCCCTGCATGGGGCAGAGGCCACAGTGGCAGGAAGCCAGGCAGGAGGCTGCGTTCAAAATGGCGGGCATTGGGGGCTGCTGTGGTCCACCCAAGCAAAGAAGTCATGGGATGAGGGCCAAGCCTTTAGGTAATCTGGTCACATCAGTGTCTCCCATGATTTGAGGTGAGAGACCATAATGCTGTCCACTGAAGAATGTCAATCAAGTGATTTCTATGTGCCTCCCCTCAGACACCCCATGCCCTCCTAAGCTTGTCTAGTAGACACTGGAGGCAGTCCGCTGCAGTGAGGCGTGATGGGGTTAGGAAAATTGCAGAGTGACCAGGTGACAGAGTTGCCGGGGAAGTAAAGGCCAAATATTTTTGGAGTGCTTCAAGAGTATGGATCCAGGGATTGATGATAAGACAAAGGCCTGAAATTTCACTATTAGAGTCCCGCACAGGGCTTGGTCATGTGCGAGCAGATGGGATTTTGAATTCACTGGCCAAGCAGAACCTACGAGCGTGTATTATGGTATAGGTGAAAAGTCACCTTTGAGAATTTTGGGTTGGCTTTCTATGTGGGTTTCTGGGAAGCCCCACCAAAATCAGGGGTACGCTCTTCTACAGCATGAACTGCCAGGGAAAGGGAAGAGAGAATGGGTCAGATTTCCTGCATTGACAGTGGGGCCGTTACAAGAATCTGTGCTGACTTCCCAGCACATTCGGAATGGCCAAAAGCTTCTCTGTTGGTCTCTAGTCTGGACCTCCACAGCATATTCCCTGTGGGAATCCTTAGTGGCACCTTTCAACGTTGCCCAGTTCACATCAGCTTCTAAGGGAACTTCTTAAAAGCCACTGGAGTTTCAACAGATAATTGTCTTTCCTCAATAAAATAGAAAGCATTAAAGATATTTCAACCGGGGAGACCAAATCGAAGGATTTGTTTGTTTATGAAACCTTTGAAGAGCTCATGAAGTCAAGATCAGAAAAAGCTGCTAGTGATAAGGGGAGACCAGTGAGGTCAGGAATTTCAGGAAACTGCAACATCCCTGGAACAGAGGATGGTTAGGGGGACCATCCAGAAGGCCCTCAAACCTCACCTCTGCTGCCCGGGCAGCCTGTGGTCCTCCTACTGATGCTAGAGGAGCCTGGATAGCTTCCACATCTCTGGTCCCTTTGAAGCCAGTGGGACTGCCTCTCGGTCACAGAATGGAAATGTAAATTCCCTAGTAGAAAATGAAATGCTGTAAGTTACTGTCACACTGAGGCCGCCTCTGAGTCCTCAACTGGACATCTTGAGATGACAATTCATTGCTCTTTCTTTGGCTCAGAATTAATAACAAGCACAACTAAACAAAACCACACCAGTTTTTACATTCTCCGCTAAGATGGATGGTGACTGTGAGTGTTTGCTTTTGTTCTCTCATCGACTCTAAAGCTGCCTCCCTTCTCTTTAAGCATGCAATAATATAAGATCCGTCTACCTTGACAGTTTCCCCAGAGTATCGCAAATCAAAATCTGTACGACTTCTTAGGGAGAAAATAGGAAACAAATAAGTGGAAGATTAGCGCTTAGGACTAGTAGGTCACCCATACCTGCTCAAAGGGGTGATTCTAATGGTGGCACTTGGTCCTCTAGCACATGGCAGACCCACCACCAGCCACACTTTGGTCCTCCACTTCAGACTTCCTACATCCTTTGCCACCTTTCAGCTTCGTATTACGGAAAATTATGTTTTCAGTAATAAGGAGACAATGACGTTGTAAACAGAAAAAGGTGACGATGAGGATTGCTGGAGAGTGGGCAAATGTGGGCGTTGCCAAGGCCCCAATCACACTGACTAGGAAGGAGATACTTTTTAAAGCATTAAAAAAAAAATGTAAAAACAAAGTCTAAAGTCCTGCCCAAGTTAAGTCCCTTTGGGTTATTATTAGGAAAAAGAGCAATTCACTTCCTCATTTAGTAAAAATTACATTTGCAACTCAGGTATATTCAGGTAGCTTGAGAGTGGGAAACCAGATCCTAATTTGTTATTATTTCTCATTTTTCTAGATCAGTGTCTGGCTGTTAGCATGTGCTTTATATGTAACTGTGCATAGATGGATTGGACAGCTACATCACTCTGGGTGTCCAAGCATATTTGTGTCTCCTGCTGGGATATGTGTGTCCGTGTGCAGTTGCATTGATGTTTACTCTGGAAACACTGCCCTGTCTGTCCCTACATAATGCTGCTTGTGGTTTCGGCAATAAGTTCTGGTCAGTCAATTCCTCATGCAATTCTTATTTAAATAAGAAGATTTCATCCTCCCCTGGCTTATATAGGAGGATGGACTGAAGGAACCTTCTAAGGAAAATAATTTTTAGTGGAAGAAAAAGGATTAAATCTTAATGATATTCTCTCTAATTGTGTATGTCACCGAGTGAAATCTGAGCTCTTGCAGTGTGGCTTCGAAATTCAAATGTTATCAATTGGAATTGACATTAATTACTTCTGTGCTGCTTGGCATATGCTGAAACATGATTTCTACAACGATCCACCCAAGTCACTAGGGCAATTAGCTCTGCTGCGGTCGTCGTCATCATCATCATCATTAATGCCATTAAAGTCTCTCCTGTTCTCCTTCCTCTCAGGCAGGCGCTGCGCTTCACGCCCTCTCCCTTCCTCCCTGTTCCCTGCAGGAAGTCCCCTTCTCCCGCGTGTGGAGCAGTAACCGGCAGCCCTTGCACTGTGCCTTCTCCCTGGAGCGCTACACGCCCACCACCACGCAGCTGTCCTGCAAAATCTGCATCCGGCAGCTGAAAGGCCATGAACAGATCCTCCAGGTGCAGACATCTATCCTGGAGGTGAGTCCTGGGCTAAAGCTCCTTTCGTTCCCTTCCTAAGGGACAATGCCACCTGTGTCACAGCTGTGCTGTTCTGGGTCCGAAGAACTTCAAAATGTGGACTCATCACCTTTTCTAGGACGAGGAAACACAGACTTTTTCAGACTCAGTACCAAAATGAGCTTCCCACTAGGCAGAGAAGCTCAACCTATCAGGCAGCCAAGGCTACAGGACACTTGTACACAAAACCACAGTTTCCTAGTCCGCAGCAGGCTTGGGACTTGCTGTCCAGTGTTGAAGGTGGATCCACATTGCTGTGTGTGACCACTGGTTTGTTTTTGAGCTGGTTCTGACCAGTGTTTGAGAAGACAGTCGCCTTTTGTTTTCATCTTTGGAGCTTGGGATCCCTGTTGTCTTGATTCTATCTGGTGTTCTCCAGGCTTGGAGTTCTCATAGGCACATTTCATTAAACCTAGAGCCCTCGGTATAGTACTGTCAGCTCCCATGTCGGGGTGGAGAGGGAGGAGAGATGAAGGGGATGGTATGCAGAGCTTGGCAGAGATGGACGGTTAATAGATACAGCTTGTGTGTGTGGTTTCTGCAGTCAGACATTCAATCCACCACCTTCTGAAAAGAGTTGAAGGAAAAACTGCATCTGAACAGGTCAGACTTTTCCTGTCATTATTCCTTACAATACAGCAGAACAGCTAGTAACTGTACATTATACCAGAAAGTGTGTGTAGGTCACATGTAAACACTGTGCCATTTTTTAAGAGACTTGAGCATGGCAGATAGGGATGCCTGCCAGGATCCTGGAACCAATCCATTGAGGATACCTAGAGCAAGAGCTGACAGTTAAAGATGGGCATGATGATAATCTCACTCTATGAATTAAAGAAGTGGAAAAGAGATAAAGAACCTCATCTGGGGAGTATCACAATGGAAGGATAGAGTTAGAAAGCCTGGAGTTAATTAGTCAAAGGAGAATTCACTGGGTACATTTGCAAAAAGATGCCTGGTCTCTACAGATCTCTAATTTGCAATGACTTCCTACCTTTGACTTGAGCACGTAGTCTAGACAACAGCAGTACCTTCTAAATAGTTCAGTGGCCCAGAGACGGCGTAGCTGGGGGTGGGATACTTGTAATGTAGCAAGTCTAGGTTCATTCCAGGCCGGTGCAGAAATCATACATAATTTACCTATACAATAACTGTGTATGCATATATACTTATCAGTATGTAAATATTAGCCACATATTTATTAATTTATGTTTGACAGGAGATTTAGCATATTTGTAGACATACAACTCAATTTCAAGTTTTCTTCCTTGGAGTGTGTGTCACTGAACCACTTCACCACGTCTCTGATTTTCCTTTCACCTCATTGTCTATGCAACGAGTATTGCTAATTCCCCAAACACTTTTTCTGAGGAGTGGATAGCTTTCCCAAGGATTGTGTCTTACAATTGATGCTGTCTTAACTGACATGTTTGTGTGCTATTTGAATTCATTATTGCCAATTAGCATTTAGTGCTGAAGAATTTTTGATAGAGAAGGTAGATCCAGAAATCCAGGGCAGGATATTTTTAGAGCCTCTTTCTTGAACGGTCCTGCCATATCTAATATAATACATTTCAAAATAAAATAAAAGTTATAGGACACTTTTTTTAGAGTATAACCTTTTTTATTAAAGTTCATCCTAAAGTGCTTTGTTCTGGCTTTTTCAAATTGATAAAATTTGTTCTTCCATAATTTCATATATGTTTATAGTGCGCTCTGGTTGTCCTCACCTCTGCCAACTCCTCTACACCGCCAACAAGGCCTTTTCCCACATCCTTGTCTTGTAGCTTTGTTATGTGACCCATTGGTTTTAAACAGAGCCAGCCATCTGTGTGACCCCAAGTTTGAAACTATCCATTGCAGCCTAGTGGGCTCATCAGCTAGTACACAATAGAAACCTCGACTGCCCCTTACCCAGAATCCATCACTAGCCAGTGGTTGAGCAGACAGAGGTAGGGCCCCTCCTCTTAGCATTTTGAGCAGCCACCAGTCCCTGCATTCAAAGAGAAGCTTCTCTGATTAAGGCTGAGAGCAGCATTTATCTATGGGGAGAAACATAAATGTGTAGAATGCAATCAGTTGCCATGACAATCTGGCTAAGAAACTAATAGTTTCTCCACTAAGGCCTATGACCTCCCTAGCCATGGGCTTTTTAAATGAAAATCAGAAGGGAAATTCAAAAGAGATCTGATTTTTCCAAAGCACCTATGAAAACGCAGAATCAGGAGGCCTCTGGCCCAAATTGCCTTACATGTCTGTGAACAGGTCAACAAATGGATTCTAGGTTTGAAGATGTTTTTATAAGACGCTTTGATATTGGGGATCAGCTTCTGCTATTTCCTAATTTGCTTTCTGTTGCTGTGATAAATACCATGATCAAAACAGCTTGGGGAAGAAAGGGCTTATTTCATCTTTTAACTCCAAGGTCACAATCTATCACTGAGAGTGATCCCGGCAGGAGTTCAAAGCAGGAACCTGGAGGCAGGAACTGAAGCGGAGACAGGAGGAACACCGCTTACTGGCTTGCTTCTCCTGGCTTGCTCAACTACTTTTCCTATGCAGCCCAGGCCGCCTACGCAGGATGGCACAGCCCACAGTAGCTGGACACTCCTACATCAATTAGAAATCAAGGCGATGCCCCTACAGACAAGCCCACAGGCCAATCCGATGGGATCAGTTCTTCAATTGATTTTTCCCTCTTCCAAGGCGACTCAAGTTTGTGGCAAGTTAACAAAGACTAACCAGCACATACAGGAAACGTATATAATGACAGTGTGACGGGGTTGAAACATACTGATGCTTTGTTCTTGCTTATCTAAATTCTTGGGGTTCATCAAAGGAAAATTAGCTAAGAAGCCCAATCCTATGACTTTGAGATATCCTAAGGATGAAATCACAGTATCTGTGAATACTGGAACACATGTATCCAAATAACATTCAGAAATCTTTGTTGAGTTACAGTCATTGGTTTGCAAGATCCTGCTTTTAGAAGCTTTACCCTGTCCAGGATCTCTTTATTCATTGCTTCAGGTGTCACTGCAGGAATTTGACCAAATACATCTTCAGGGGCCAGGGCATCTTAGGCAGTCTAATTTATTAGTGTTTTATTTTTTATTTATTTGTTTTTATTTTCTGTGTATGAATGTTTTGCCTGCACGTATTTGCCTGCAGTGTGCACGTGTTGTGCAATGCCTGTGGAGGCCGGAAGAGGGCATCAGGTCCTATGGAACTGTAGTTAGTGACAGTTCTTAACCGCTATGTGTGTGCTGGGAACTGATCCCAGGTCCTCTGAAAGAGCAGCCAGTGCTCTTAACGTCTCTCCAGCCCATATTAGCAATTCCTATGTTAGAAGAAGACTAATAACTTTGAAAGCCCCTATATTTCATGCTTTCTTTCATTTGCATCTGTCAGTCTAACCATTACTGCCCCATGGATTAAGTATCACTGCTTCCATAATTGTATATGACATAAAAATCTCAAAGATGTCAACCTCCTTGTCCAAGGTCATTGGGGTAATGAGTTGGAGAGCCACAGCACAAACAGAAGCCAGACTTCACGTTCGAAATCTAAGATTCTGTATTTCATTATGGAAATAATGAGTCTTACTCTAACCTATAATGTATTTGGGAGCTCTGGCAGTGGTAGAAAACACTCCAGCACCAGAAATTTTGTCATTAAGTCATAAGAGGGATAATATAATAGTTGAAAAGTTCTTTTGTCAAAAAAGAAAATAGAGCTATGAAGATACCTTGGTCCTTAAAGTTCTTACTGTAGAGGCATGATGACCTTAGATGAATCCCCAAAACTCACATTAAAAAAAGTGTGGTCATTCTTACTTGTAACTGCAGTGCTGGGCACCAAAGACAGACAGACCCCTGGGCCTCACTGCCAGCTAATCACACTTGGTGAGCTCCAGGCTCCCGTGAGAGACCCTGTCTCAAAAACAAGGTGGGTGATGCATGAGGAAAAATGACACCCAAGATTGTCCTCAACACTCACATAAAACATGCAGGCACCCATGCGTACACAGAAACATATATGCAAACACAAAATAGGAAAACATAGACTGTAACTATTTGCATGATGGAATAGGGCAGTGTTCGTTCTATAGCCTACATGTAGACCTTCCTTCAAATGGTATGTTTACTGAAGTGTGTCAAACTCCGTCCAGCTCTTGGGGAAAGAACATATCTGGTGATATGGCTGACCAATAATAACAATTGTCTTTTCCTAAAACTGACTGGACTTTCAGAGTTAACAACTCAAGCAAAGGGTTAGATATGGAAAGTACTCAGAAACTGATGTCGGGGGTGTGTGGGGGTAAGGGTCCATTCTAGACATGGGTCTAACCAATTAGTAAGTTAGGAGTCATAGGCCAGTTTTGAAGGTCGACCACACTTCCAGGCTGAAGACACTGCCTGTAGGTGGGTTTAGAAAGTTAGCCATTCGTGTTTATTCAGTCACAATAACATGAAACTAAAACTTTTCAGTTTCATTAGATATCACTGATCTTTCTTAATTAACCTTGTCCCCTAAATATTTAGGCTCAGGCATCTCAGTCTTTGTCTCACTTTTTGGATTGCCTTAGTGTCACAACACCCCACATCTAACAGGAAAACCACAAGCAACATGAGGGTGTATGTTTGTGGGTGTGTATGTGTGTCACATGTCTGAGTCAGTTCTTCAACCATCCTCAGTGAAGACATTTGATTCCCAGTGCTCGGCATCCAGCTGTCATTTTTTTCATACCTCTGTTCTAAATGGTTTTCCAAATAAGTACATTCTTTGTGATGACCCTCAAAATTAAAAATCTGTAATCAAAATAATATATCTTCTTTGTTCTTTGCGTGGCCAATATTGTATCAATCTTTGGAAGCTGTGAGTTCCTCTTAGATGTAATCCTGTTGAATTACCTAATGATTATTACCGGTTCATGCTCTATAAAATCAGCACTATCATCCATCTAAAAATTGTAGCCTGAAGCACAGTGAGGAGCAGGGAAGGACCCTTATATAAGTCATTTCATCGTTCTTTATTAATACATCATTGAAGACACTTTTTGGTAGAAATGACTTAAATGGGAATCTCGCATTTTACATTTTCCTCTTAAGCAATTCTCTTATCTTTCCTCCAGAAGTGGTGGAACTTGGGGATAATCTGTGTGCTATAAAATGGAACACTTGGTATCTCTCATTGATTCACAACTCCCTATGCTAGCCAGGTACCAGCCGCTTAGCTCAAATGTACAGCGCATTACAATCTACTGTTCCTCTGCATATTTAATTTAAATAATCAGAAAATACCATGTATCTACAGAATTCATATTACTTGGCCCAGATGCCTTTTAGGACACGTAAATGTTACATAAAGTGTCATCTTGGTGTGGGGGAAATATTTAAATTTAGAAATTTTAAGACTGAAATGGGTCCACTTATTAAAGTGTAATAAATAGAAAAATGCTTAGTTTTAGATTTAGCTTCATATATTTTATTTGCCTTCAAAGAAAATCACTTTCTCTAGATTTATTTTATTCATCAAGGTGGCTTTTCTTCTGGTAACAGTCAAAACCTTATGCAAATGTTAGCTTCTTGGGGTTGAAACAATCCTGACTAGTCCCTTAACGCAGCCTCAGGTCTGACCTGATGTTTTAATTTTGAAGACTCCATTAGGGGATCAGGAGACAGCTGTTGGAAATGTGACCATTGCAAAAGTACGAGGACCAGTGTTGAGAGTCCCGGCACCCACACACCCACAGTCCAAGTACAGTGGCGCACATCTGTAACTTGAGCCCTCGGGAGACAGAGACAGGCAGATAGCTGGGGCTCGCTATCAAGTAGTCTAGTGGAATCAATGAGCTTCAAGTGCAGGGAGAGATTGTGTCAAAAGATGAGATGAGCAGTGAGCAAAGGGAAAACCTTATGTTCACATCTGACCTCCGTACTCATTCACATACACATACATGTTCACACACACAAGAGTCTTTTTTTTTTTTTTTTCCATGCTAGGAATTGACCTTGGAGCCTTATACATGCACAGTCTAATGACTATACTCTACTTCTATTTCCAGCCCAAAATTCTATTCATTCTGACAATTCAAGGAATCACGAAGCCAGTTTTGTGTCTTGCCATTATTTAGCCTGGAGCTTTGTGTTTTTCCCTTACAGACCACCGTCTCCCAGGCTGACACCCTTTGGTGCCACTTCACACAGAAGACAGCTGTGTTGGCTTGTGTAAAATTATTTTTCTATCTTCTGTGTCCTCTCCCTCCTCTCTGATTTTCTACTGTAGTCTGAAAATATAGAAGGAAGCTATTCCTACTTGATTTGCATTTTTAGAAGCTAAAAGAGATTTTACAAACCATGCTAAAAAATAATGTCTACCTATTTTATACTCAGTAAAAAGCTGAGTTGGTTTATTTTATAGCCATCCAATATATCAGAATAGAATTGTCCACTCTACCTGGAGTGAGTACCTATCTTCCCAAAGTGTATTCAGTCGATGTCTACCGACCGTTCAAGGCCAGCTCAAGAGCTTCTTCCATGAAGCTTCCTCCCTATAAATTCCTGAAGCATAGTGTTACTGTCACACAGACAGGATTTCTGGTAACCAAGCTGCTCTGTGTATTTCATAAGACTTGTTTTGAAGCAGTAAAGTGATTGCTGGCAGAGTTATTAGGACATCAGACTTGTAGTTTCAGATATGGCACAAATTACTTAGGTGCCTTTTATAAACTTTCATAACCTCTGTAGAGTCTATAAAAGTTGCAAAATAGCTGATTAGGGACCTGAGAGAGAAGATTATTTAGCATCCAGAGTTACAAGCTAGAGAGTATAGAGGCTTACTCCAAAGCATGATCCTTCTGATTCTAAAAACTGTTTCTGTGATGGACCATACCAAGCACAAACATGGAAAGAGTTTTTATAAAATTTGTTCTGTAGTGTGCTGTAAAATAGAACTGAAATCAGTAGGTAGCATTCATCTAACATGATAACGTGTATTTTGGATTTGCATGATGGGATTATGAGGTGCTGTTCGGTCTCAGGACACCTGCAATAACCTTTTGGAAATGCTGGGATTCCAATCCACAGCCTTCAACATGTCACTGTGCCCAGTGATTATGGAAAATTAAAAAGCACTTTCCATCATTAATAAAACCTCTGCATCATCCAGGCTTCCCAGTTGATACCATGCCTGAAATTTTCGAGTTCTGCATGCCTAATTAGTAGCTGAGGAGGGCCACAATGGCTGTGTGCCCACAGTAGGAAAGCATAAAATCTGAAAATCATACAGAGATCAGGGCAGAACCCTGGGCAGTTTGGGGAAGCATAAAACAGACAAAGTCCTCATGTGAAGGCTAGATGCTTGGGGGACAAAGCAACCCAGCTAGTCTGTTAAGCTGCCTTCCATGACCTTTTCTTTTCCAGCATAACAGATTGCCACAAATTTAGAAGCCAGACCCCTCTATTGTAACCAAAAGTCCAAGCATGGCTTGGCTCGGTTCTCTGGTGAGGATCACAGGCTGAGCTAAAATTAGCGAGATGTTCTCTTCTACAGCTCTGATCCAGGCTTATTTAAGTTATTGTCACAACTCAATTCCCTGCCCTGTGGGACACAATTTCCCATTATCTTTTTGGTCAAAGAGTATAGATCATTCTTGACTTCATAGGTAATTCAAAGCCTGGGCATTTTCCTTCCTCCAAGACAGAGCTGAGCCACCTCAGTGTTAGAATGTTCACCTACATTGTACAAGGTTCTGAGGTTAATCCCCAGAGTAGAACCCAAAGACTGGGGCAAGGCAAGAGGAGAGAAGAAAGGGAAAAGGGAGGGAGAGAGAGAGAGAGAGAGAGAGAGAGAGAGAGAGAGAGAGAGAGAGAGAGAGAGCACACACACACTCAGAGAGAGAGAGAGAGAGAGAGAGAGAGAGAGAGAGAAAGAGAGAGAACACGCACACTTCAGAAGTTATCCTTTGCCTCTTTTGAAGGGCTACTTGATATCTGATTAAATCAGGTCAGACTCACCAAGGAAAATCTTTTAATTAGTTCAAAGCCATCTGATTAGGGACTTTATTTCAGTACACTCCCTTTTGTTTTGTGGCATATAATAATCTGGTCTTTATTCTACAAGATATTTGTGAGCTCTTAAGATTCTATTAGCCCACATCTGCAAACACTACAATCTGAAAATTTTCCTTATTGTTTTATTTCAGATATGATGACCTAATATTTCAGTATGCATTGAAATAGCAAATCCTCACTACACAATTCTACCTTAGAAGTAGGTGGGCAGACAGAGGGTGGAAACCTTCCCCCCAGTGCACACTGTCCACAACTAGCACAGGTGTTGTCTCTGGCAGGCTCTGTCTCAGCAAAGAGATTTAATGCTGAAAAAAGATTTATCATAGAATCATACAGCTTTAGACCTAGGAAATAAAACAAACTTTGATATCATTAACATACGGTCGGCTTCCCTCACATCATCCCAGTCTGCTCCTTTGATCAGCCCATTCATCTCTGGTCATGATGACTATCAGAGGGTCATTCTTCATACTGAACCCAAATCTGTCAGTGTGTAGCTGCTTCCTACTAATTCTTATCTATCCCTGAGAGCCTTTTAAAAAGGACCTAGTCCTGCCCTCACCTGACAGCTCTTTGGATGTTGGAAGCTGGTGGCCTATGATGCCCCTGAGTAAAAGAGGCTGCTATAAATCTCTAGGACGTGACTAATTAGGCACTGGAGAAGTCTCTTATTATTTTAGAACCAAAGGAACTTGTCAGCATGTTTTACATACACAATTTTTGCATGTGTTTTAACACAGATTTTCACAAACAAAAATGCCAATAATGCTTCTCCTTGGACCTCATCATGCATCCCTTATTTTGCTTACAGAGTGAACGAGAAACCATCACTTTCTTCGCACAAGACGACAGTACTTTCCCTGCGCAGACTGGCCCCAAAGCCTTCAAAATTCCCTACTCCATCAGACAGCGGATCTGTGCCACCTTCGATACCCCCAATGCCAAAGGCAAGGACTGGCAGATGTTAGCGCAGAAAAACAGCATCAATAGGTAATTGGGGGGGCAACTTTTGAGAAAATGCTTTAATTTAGAATACTCGAAGACGTACAGTGAGCTAGGGGCAACCATGTGAGCCAGGTATCTTTGAGGGTTTCGCTGCCCAGTATCGTGTGGGGCCCAGCTGCTGAGTCATTGTACGAGGTCTCAAGCTGCCTCAGGACATTACCAAAGCACTATTTTGGTTCTGGCTCTGTCCCTGTATTAGTTACTTTTCTGTTGCTGTGATACACTGACCAAAGCAACTTATAAAAGGAAGAGTTTATTTGAGCTTACAGTTCTAGGGGAATTACAGTCCCTCCTGGCAGAGAGGCATGGCAGCAGAGAAGGAGCAGAAGCTACATGCTCACATCTTCAAGCAGGCACAGGAAGCAGAGAGTGAGTGGAGATCCCACAAGGCTTAAGAACGCTCTAAGCCCACCCCCAGTGACGTGCTTCCTCCAGCATAGCCATACCTTCTAAGACCTCCCAAAACAGCTCCACCATCTGGGGATGAAATGTCCAAATGCTTGGCACCTATGGGGGACAGTCTCATTCAAACCACCACAGTCTTCATGCTTGTTATTTGGAAGCTTAGGCTATGTTGTCCTGGTACCCATGGGTGATTACAGCATAGCTTGTAAGCTGGTGACACAGGCAGACATAAGTAGCTTACATGTCCTTCCCACTACCAGGTGACTTTAGGTACTACTTAACTCCTAATGGAGCTCCTAAACTCAGTCTGCAGAAATAGGAGCTCAAGTACCATGAAGAATCTTGAGGACATCTCAGCTGTGAAGGCAGAGGACACTAGGTCCTGGGAACATACCTGGATGCCATCCCCTGAACAAGGGCACTGCTAGAAGTGACCGCTCTCTGTGGCATGGTTAGCAGTGCTGTCGCAGAGCTGACTAGTTCAGAAAGACTCCTAATGAGCTTCATTACCTCAGAGGAAGACAGGCGGGGTGAGGTGTCCTGAGCCATCCCAGAAGTGGGAGGGCAGGTTTGAGCTGGGTTTGAGATAACTCACGGGGAAGGGCGTTGACCAATCAAACCTCTTCTGTCCCTACCCCTCTCATGCCCCAAAATAAATTGGGAAAAGTAAGTTGTGCCAGAGTTCATTTCCCCTTCATTGGGTACTGTGGTTTTCCATTTTTCTTTCCAGGCAAGGCCTTCTTTCCTCACTGCTTGGCCTGCTCTGGCTTCTTCATTTGTCCTTTGTTTTCATAGACGTCATACCTGACTCTTTTCTTCTCTGAAAGGGAGGGTAGGTGTCTGCCAAGCAAAGATGGAGTGCTGCTCCCTGCCACTGGAACGGGTCCAGAATCTGGGAGTGAAGGGCCCAATCAGAAAGCAGGAGGGAGGAGATGTTGCTGCCAGAGAAAATTGAATTTTCAGAGAACAGGCAGGCCCGAACAGAACAGATGCCTTCTTGAAAAACCAAAGGCATATACTGAATGTGGAAGTATTAGGAAGTATGAGTATACAGGAAAAGTTTAGCATGAAAATTTCTTAGTGAGTTTGCAAGAGGAGATATTTCTTGGTTGTCACCTATGAACACCAGGATTGTATCAAGTTCACTTTCTGATCAGTATGAACACAGAATGAAAACTGACTCAGAGAGGGGATAGAGAGGGAGAAAGGGAGAGGTAGTTTGGTGTTGCTGCTAATTCCAGTCTGTGTAAACATGGTACTTACTGTCCTCCTGTTTTTCTTTCTAGCAGTGCAGTTTAAAGGACAGGAAGTATTTGGAGTCTCTATTCTAATTATGAAAGGTTATTATTTTTTGAGTTACCCTTTAGAAAGCAGTTGATTGCCACAAAGTCCCTATGTATCCAGGCAGGCCATCCTTGCTTGACAGAGAAGCAGGTGTGTGCCCTGTCCTATTCTACTCTAGTCTGGATTTACAGTATGCATAAGACATACACTTTGTGCCTCCCAAGCCCTGTATTCTGACCTCGCACTGTAGGTAAATGGTAAATGAACCTGGGAAACTAAGTTTAGCTTCTGCTGTGATCAGACAGTAATTCGCATCAGCTGTCTACACTGGAGCTCGTGCCCTTCCAGGTCTGTGGTCCTGTGCCTGTTTCCTTCCTTCCTTTTCCCGAATACCTTATCTCCAGGACAGCCTAAACTCCCTGACGTAAGTAGTTCAAACGACTCCTTTGTGGAGAATTTCCAAAATACTGCCCAGAACAGTCTCAACAAGCGTTAGCTGTTCACTTTGACAGTGTCACAATGAATACAAATTGGAATGGCATGAATAAGTGCTATCTACTTCTCTCTTAAAGTCTTACAGGGCTAAAACCCTCAATTTCAGTAAGTGGCGTTTCCTACCATCCTCTTTGTTCTCTAGCTTTGATCGTCCAAAACTTAACTGTGGAGTGAGAATGATTTCAACTAGGGACCAGCATGCTTTCTTGTATAGGACCATAACTTAACTAGTTAGACCAGACAGGATCCGTTGCTACAACTCAGCAACTGGTCATCCTTCTGTGTCTGCAACATGAACATGCCAGAAAAAAAGATGCCCAACAAAAGCAGGCCTGGCTGTGTGCCAGTGAACTGTGCTTACAGAAACAGGCAATGCTTTGTATTTCCCCATAGCGTGCAGTTTGCTGAGCCTTTACAACCATCTATGCTGAGTCTAAGTTCCTTAAGAATCTGTTGCTCCTGTGAAGACAATGCTTAGAGCTGAGGATTCTCCTTTAGCTTAGCCTCCAGCCTCCTCCAGGGTGGGGTGGATACTGAGGCTAGAACAGAAATGGCTATCAAAATGCCATTTTACAGAAATACTCAAGTTCCTTTTATATTTTCATTACATATATATAATGAAATGTATTATATATAGATATTTTCATTTTCTATACATACAATCAAATGCATTATATATAGATAGATATTTTCAGTATCTGTCTATCTATAGATAGATAGATGATAGATAGATATTCTCTTTCATGTAAAGAAACGTGACAGAGGCGGAAATGGTTGTCACATGTAATCCATCAGAGTTTCCTAATATGCAGTTCCAACTCACTGATTCCAAACTCTTGTTAGAAATAATATAGTATGAAACCAATAAATTTGAAACACAGAAATCTAAAGTTGTCAATATGTAAATAGCATTGGGAGGAAAAATTACTTCAGTGGCTTGGGATTCCACCAACTTTGGAGTCATAGCAGAAAGACGATCACCGTGTATAGATTCTTTCTACTCAGAGAATTTGCAGCATTTACTAGAAGATGCCACATTACAGTGAGCCCGAATAAAAACAGCCTGACGTTTAGCATCTGTTTTAAGCCAAGAGCAGACCTGAACTGCTGAGATCCTATTCCTTCAGAATGCTCTTCAACAAAGGGCTCACTGTTTCTTTTATTGAAATATTAGATTCAACATTAAATGGGGACGTAAAATTTGGAGCCTTATCTGAGGATTATGTCCCTTCTAATTCCTATCACACACACACACACACACACACACACACACACAACCACAAACATGTTATCAGTTTCTCTCTTTGCTGACAATAAGTGCTGTTTGCCGTGCTTGATATGTAAACAAACACACATAACTTATTTTAAGTCAACACAAGGAAGAGTGATGAGGGATTATGACCATACGCCCAGGTCATGGGGGGAGCCCAAGGCTCCAGTGAATTTGTCTACATTATAAACAAGCTAAGATAAGATCAACTTCCTGATTGAAAGGTTAAGTAAAAGTCATCTGTCCAGAGCATGTCCCTATGTAAAGGTCATTGCCACAAGGATTCACTCACTTTGATCTTGTGATGAACTTTGACCTGATTCTCCCCTTGCTTTCAAGTTCTCAAAGCATTTACAAGTTAGTAAAACAACAGCTATCAAATTCCAAAGGAAAAGTTTTCAAAGGAACTATTTGGTTTATTTTACTGGTGGTCAAAATACTCTCTACCCTGCTCTTGCAAATGCAAATATGTGTGGCTGATGACAACCTTCCTTTTTGCCAAAAAAAAAAAGGATCTGAAGGGAGATGAGGAGGAAGAAAAGAAATAAAGGTTAGCCACTGAAGAGCTGGGACAGGGCGAGGTATCCGGCAACAGGAGCAGAACTGCAACTTATCCAGCATGTGGTCTCAGTGGAAAAGCTACAGAGCCTCGTGAAGAATCCCACAGAGGACGGTCGCACTGTGGGTTCTGTGAGCAAAGTCTGGCCCTCACTCAGCTCCCACACGTGCTGCACGTCCAAGCTAAGGGTACACATTTAGCCTGTAATTTCAGCCATAGTAACTCTCCACTGTGCTGCTTCAGCCAAGTGTGACTGATGGGAGGTCGTGGGAATATTGCTGAGGATTTACCTCCTAATACCTGCTTCAGCCAGAAGTATTCTGTCTTATCTAAACTGACATACTACTTGGAGTTTTCATGATTTTTGTTTTGGTACAGGGTCTCCCTGTAGCCCCAGTTGGCCTAGAACTCTCTATGTAGGCCAAGTTGGCCTCAGTCTCACAAAGAACAGCCTGACTTTGCCCCCAGAGTGCTTGGAATAAAGGAATGGGCCACCACACTCGCTCTGTGAAACTTATTTTTAAATCGTAATTAAGCACCTGACCATCACCTTTGGAGAAATTCAATAAACATTCCTTCGGTGAATGACATGAACTCTTAACAGGAAAGTATACGTTCCCCTAAAAGTCTTCCTGTCCGAAACAGCCTACATGAGCAAGCCTCAAAGGATGATGAAAGTGAATCTTACCAAGAAAACAGGCCACGAGGTCAGCTTTGTGGAGATGTTGTCTTCCCCCCAAGTCTTAATACTTGACGCTCTACGACTAGATGTTCCAGAATCTTTAAGGCCCCATGTCTTCCATATACAAGAAACTCTTGGGAGAACATATCCAGCTTTCCCATGTTGCCGTGGGAACAGACACATGAGATATGGGTGGATGGATAGAGGGAAAGCAGCCAAAATGGAAGAAAATAACAACTTATTAAATGTTTTTCCCAAGGCTTTCCCTAATAGTAGACTTGTTCGAAAAT